CTGGTATTAGGAAACAGTTGAAGTGATAGCGCCGGCTCATTTGCCAGTCCTTTGTGAGACGCATTCAGATTCAGCACATGGTCACTGTCTAGACCTGGGCTTTGTTTTCAAGTTGCAACTCACAGCATTCACTGTTCTTCTGCTGGTGGCTGGTTATCAAACAACGTTGCATTGCTGCGGGCGCACCCTTCTGGATTGGGGGTGAATTGCCTGTATTCGTTGGGCCTCATGCACCGAACCGAGATGTCCGTACCGTGACAGTTCGGTACGAATACATGTATCGTTCCACCCCTAATATACATGTAAATATTTTCCAAATATATACTGTATGTGTGTGTATTTATATATAAATAATAAATACACAGTACACCACACATATATTATGTTAACAAAAACTTTTTTTTTGATTAATCGCGATTAATCGTTTGACAGCACTACTCAAAATACAAAATATTAAAAACAAATCACTGTTATTTTAGTATAACTGATATAATATAGGTTTTGTTAATATTTTGAATTAGATTACATATTTTATGGTTTCATTTTCATTTTACTGAAAGTTTTAGTAATTTTGTTGTAATTTTTGCTATTTGTATTAGTTTTTGTTGTTTTTAACTATGTCTACATAGTTTTTATTAATTTTTATTTTGTTTTTAGTTATTTTAGTACATCATGTTAAACTAAATGAAAATGAGAAATGCTGCCTCAGAAACTAGCAAAAAAACATTTTAATATTTTATTTCAGTTTACATTTATTTTATTTCAAGTAACAAAACTATTTTTATGGTTTTAATTTTAATGACACTACAATAACCCTAGTATTGAAACAATGTATTCATTTCATTAAAAAAAGTTACTATTGTGACCCCAATAGTTACTCTTGTGAGCAATAAAAGAGGGTTAATTTGTTGGCAATGGCTTAAACAAGAATGCCTGGAGATCAGCCATGGCCAAAGAGCTCTTTAGGAGATATGTTATGAGATTAGGGGCGTTGGTACAGTAGTAGCAGAACACTGTTTGCAATTGTCAGCATTACTTCTGCTGCATTACAACGCAAGATCCACCTCCCTCTCTGGCTCCCCCACTCAAAACTAGCAGCATTTACTCAACAGTATGGCAACTATGCCCGCCTTTGGCCTATCTGGAATGTGTGTGCAGAGAGAAACATTGAGAAAGAGAGGCAGGATGCTTTGGGACCTTAGTCAGAGTGTAAAGAAAGCAACCATGTCCATGTTTAGACATGTAAGATTTACAGGGTGACACTGACATAAACATTGCACACACTAGTGACTGACAATGTGAGGATGAGAACAAACAAATGTAATTTAATTTGTTATTATTACACAGTATGTTAACTCATAGAGGACAACTGTACACTCTCACAAAAAAAAAAGGTACAAAAGCTGTCACTGGGGCAGTACCCTATGAAAAAGTATACCTCTATACCTTATTTCCCTGAAAAGGGTGCATATTAGAACCTAAAGTATGCATATTAGCAATAAATTGGCCCAAACACAGTTTTGTTTTACAAAACAGCCTGGAACTCAAGATTAACCAACACTTCCCATTTTTCTATGCAATATGCATCAGACGATCAGTAAGCAAACTGTGGGTGAGCCCTGTCATATGAGACTAGACTCATATATATATATATATTAGTGCTGTCAAATGATTAATCGCAATTAATCGCATCCAAAATAAAAGTTTTTGTATAGTTCACATAGTATACGTGTGTGAACTGTACATGTATTATTTATATATAAATACACACCCATGCATGTATAATTTTTTTCAAAAATATGTTACGTTTATATATTAAATATATTTATATATAATATAAATGATATGAATATAAATATTTACATGTAAATATTTTCAAAATATATACTGTATGTGTGTGTATTTATATATACATAAATATACACAGTACACACAGATATATTATTGATTATTAAATATTATTATTAAATAAAAACTTTTACTTTGGATGTGATTAATCACGATTAATCGTTTGACAGCACTAATATATATATATATATATACACACACACACATATATACATACACACACACACACACACACACACACAAAAGATAACTAAAATAATTATATTCCATAATATTACAATTTATTTATTATTTTTAACTCACAAATAGCATTTTCTACCCCCATATACATTTTTAGCTTAGCATAAACAGAAAATTATATTCATAATACAAATGTGATTTATAAATGCATAAAAAATAGGCTTCCTCAAATCCAGGTTTTCCAAGACCATGGGAATTCTGGTTTTTGAATAAAAACTACATTTGAATTTAAAAGAATCTATTTAACATTACAGGTTTTATCATTTTTTTGCTGTTTTGGCTTATTTTAATACAATTTTGTATTTATTTTTATTAATAATTTGAAATGTAATCTTGAGGTCCTCTAGTGGGCCATGGACCCTTGGTCGAGAACCACTAGACATCACCTTGATACTAGCTGTGGCCTTTTGGTAGGATCCCAATTTCGTCGGTCATCCGACGTGACGTCGAGAGTGACCGACTGAAAGGGAACGTCTCGGTTACGTATGGTAACCCTCGTTCCCTGAAGGAGGGAACGGAGACGTCACGTCCCGTCGCCACAGCTCCTGTATCACCACTGAGCGGCCGGGTCACCGGCTCGGCTCCTCAGCGAAAACCTGAATATGCGCTGCATCTGCTGCCTACTTATACTCACGCTGTGATCAGCAGCAGCTGGATGCAATAATCGCATGCCAATGTGCATTGGCTCGTTTAGTTTACACTCGAAGTAGATTGGTCCCTCTAAGCGAGATCTCAATTTCGTCGGTCATCCGACGTGACGTCTCCGCTCCCTCCTTCAGGGAACGAGGGTTACCATACGTAACCGAGACGATTTCTCGACTGTCTCTGCTCGGCTTTGCATACATGCCACATCCATTTGATATCACAAAATGACTTTTTTGTGCATTAGCATTAACTTTGTGTGTGTTTTAGGAGGATAGGATACTGACTAGAAAATCTGTAGAGCAACATGAAAAGGGAAATTATTGGTGTGCTGGATAAAGACATTATGTAAGCTTACAATACATTTGTATCACTGCTGCCCTCTTTGAACTGTCCCAGAGCCAGAGGTACAGTACAGCTACAATGGTGCACCTGAAACCACTATAAAGGGGCAAGTACAAGGTCGGGACTGTTTGTCCCTGTGTCATTCTGCACATCCTGACCTTCACATTCCCCAGTACATTGAGTACACTTCACCTCTTACTGTTTCCACACGCCACACATACACTTTAATATACCTTTCATTTGTATCTTGAAGACTAAAAGACTAACTTAAAGAGTCTCTAAGCAAGGCAATTAAGCTCACTACCTGCTAATGCATACAGTTAAGATGAGGCCGGAGTTAAACAGGATTATAACTGTATACATAAGAACAGGACCGCCTGGACTGGTTTCAGGTTGGACTGCACACCAACAGGTGCCTAAATAGTTATAAGAATGGAACTATTATGCAACTTGCACATTAATTACATAATAGATCAAATCAGGTGCTTTTGAGGATTGTGTTTAAAAGTTGGTTTAGCATTTCAATTATTATGCCAGCTTTTGATAGATGTTTCAAAGGTAGTTCACTCAAAAATTTACATTGTGTCCTGTCGTTCCAAACTTATGACCGACCCCCTTTCTTCTGTGGGACATAAAAGAAGGACCCCACTGGACCCTATTCACTTTTATTGTATGGCCAAAAGAAACACGGAGACGTTTTTCAATATATCTTCTTTTGTGCTTGATAGAAGAAAAAAGTCAAACAGGTTTGGAACAACATGAGGGTGAGTAAATGATGACAATGTTTAATTTTTGGGTGAACTACCCATTAAAGACCACTACACATGGTCCAGCTCTATCACCTAAAGCAGGTGTGTGTTTTATCCTTTATGATTTCTGCTTAATAGATTGCACGACATTAGCAGACTGTAAAACAGCAGGATTGGATGTGAGAAAATACAATGATGACGAATAATGATGAAATAAACTTTATTTAATTGTATTTTAATAAATAACTTTTTACTTCGTATATTAAAAATATTTTTACTTCATTACTTTACTTAAGTACAAATTTCAAGTATCTGTACTTTACTGTAGTAGTTTTATTTTGGAAAACTTTTACTTCACTCCATTCCAAACCATAATATTGTACTTTTTACTCTACTACATTTCATAAAAACATGTTGTTCCTTGTTATTTTGAAATGGAGAAATCTTCACAAACTATGTGACGTGATAGTGGTGTCTAAAACTAAACATAATGTTAAAATAATTAAAAGAAAAACTATGCCTATGCATCTGCCCCACTGTAAAAGTAGTACATTTTCATAAACTTTTTCTTAACATGCTAACATGATATATTTTGTTATTTTCACTTGTCAGCAGGCTTGAATTATCAGTATTTATCAGTCGTAATAAGTGTATGACATGTATTTTTAGCAGGAGGATAGAGTATATAAAATTCAAAATAAATAAACATTCATCAATCAGTACTTTTTATTTTTAATACATTAAAATCAAGTACTTTTGTACTTTTACTCAAGTAAAATTGAAAGGAGTATTTTTTAGGTTATCAAGCACTTAATTTGTGTACTTCGTCCACCTCTGATTATTTATTATATTGAAGCATAATGTTATACAAAACTGGCCAAAAGTAGATACTGCCAAAATGAGTGCCTCGTCCATTGTGCATCTTCAATTTTGCTTTATTGCTAAGTTACAAATCTCTGACCACACAGAGTTCACACGTTGTTCAAACAACATTTGCAAAAACTTGAACTTGACATGAAATTCACATAAGGAAACTTCTTGGCCATCAGAAGTCCATCAAGCCACATTTTCATCTTGTCAATTTCCATTGAAATGACTGGATTTAACTTGCAAATTTTTGAAGAGCAACGGTAAATGTGACCGTACTTCAAATTCTGTGTGAACCAAAAGTGCACTTCAATATTGTGATGTATTTCTGAGAGAAACAGAATATTGAATGAAAAAAAATAAAAATTAGAAGGTGGGGCTTGATTTTAGCACACCTCGCAGCCTCTAGCTCACTCAGACTGGTGGTTGGAGAGGAGTTTTTAATAGACGTTCCGCCCAAGCTGTCAAACTGACAAAATCAGAGATTGAACACCATTCCAGAAGGGAAGCAAATTTTCAAATATGGACTTAAGAGTACAAAGACTAAATTGCATTGATTAATTGTTCATCACAAGATTAGTAATGTGCGCTAACAAAGTAAACAATGTCGTTTTTAAATTAATGCAGACTTTAAGGGCAAGATTCAATGCAAAAGACAAGAAAACTTGACCATGTTATATAAGCTGACCAAGACTGCAGATTTTTTCACAACCACCAATGAATTCATCAATTCCTAAAATTGGTCTCAGAACGCAAACCCAAGGTCCAAATCGGTGCACTGGGCTTTAGAAACAGAACGGGAAGCTGTATGTGTACCCGTCCGCCGTACATTCTGCTTTTCAATCAGTAATGCCTCTGTCATTGTTGAGAACAGCTGTTGCATTAAATGGCCCACTGCTCTTTCACTCTCTCTCGCTCTCCACGCTCCATCAGCTTCAAGTATCGCCTTAGAACAGCATTGTGAAAACATGCAGAGAGGAACACAATTTTGTTTCATATTTAAAGGAACAGGTTACAGGCTTTTGGCACATGATCTGGTGCAAGAGCTGGCTAAAAAGGCACATCTTGGCCTTTTTTTAAAGCGCTGGCCTGAACATAGTGTGCTGGGTATTCAACCAAACAATAGGCTACTGAATTATATCAGCTGTTGATACTAACAGTCAATTTTATTTTCCTTTTCACCGTTACGTCACATCCTTTACATGAAAAAGAGAAGGAATTCAAAACATCGTTCATTTGTGTACACCGACGTATTATTTAGTCCTTCAGCAGCAGCTCATTTTCAGTCAGGATGACAGGGTCATGTCTAGAATTAATGCAAGTGTAGTTTATGTTCAACTAAAATGCTCGACTCAAAGGCAGTGTAATGGAAACAAAGCAACAGCAAGTCAACCCAAACACCAATACGCAGCAACAAATGTGTTTACCGTTGTCCTTGCTGCTGGGTGTTTATGTGTCCGTGGGTGTATGGAAGAGGTGAATGTTCTGGAGTTACCTTTTATCAGCCACACTGTCTTCCTTTCTGATTCAAGTCACTATTGCATGAAAACAAACACATAACTGCCTCCTAATGCCCTGACTTTGACTGGATTACACACACCGGTCAAACGTGTCGACGCATGTGATGGACAAGGCTGGGGTGCCACACCTGCGATAGGACCGTGGGTTTATCTCTAACCATCAGAGAGCAGAGATAAAACCTCCAGCTCTCTGCTGCTTTCTGATATAACCCGTGGGTGAACTTGATTTTCAGGCATGTCTGAAAATTTCTCTTATGGATGATTCAGCTGAACTATATAAGCAGCAGAGACAACATGTGGACAGGTTCATCCAATTTAATGAAAAACACAAAGCACAACGCAGAAATTTCCACTTCTGTGAAAGTCAACAACAAGCAAAGACGTTTTTAGTCATTGTATAGAACCCTACGCAAAGTTTAATGCAACCATCCTTACGTGTTTAATTTCCATAACACAGGTATTGTGTAAGATGCATTTCAATGTTGCATCAGCTGAATGACTTAAACTGTGTTAGTGCTGTCAAACGATTAATCGCATCCAAAATAAACGTTTTTTTTTTAAATAATGTGTGTACTGTGTATATTTATTATGTGTGTGTGTGTGTGTGTATGTATATATATATATATATACACATGCGCGCGCGCGCACACACACACACATGCCTGTATGCATTTTAGAAAATGTTATGTTTATATATTGAATTTATTTATATATAATATAAATTATATGAATATGTATGTATGTGTGTAAATATTGTGGTTTAAGGTAAAAAAAAAACACATTATTTTCCACATACTGTACATTATTGTTTCTCTTCTATACCCCACCTTTCTGAAACACAAAGCTCATCGGTCTGAAAAGCGAGGTGTGCTCTGATTGGCCAGCTATCCAGTGCGTTGTGATTGGCCGAATTCCTCAAGCGTGTGATGGAAATGTTACACCCCTCACCATATTCTGGTGCTTGCTGCAACCACATGTGATGACCCCGGGCTGGACTCCGCTTCGTCCACGGTGAAAGCCGATCTGGCGATCCACAGCGCAAAGTTGAAGTACTTCCTCAGCGACCAGCATGGATCAGCTCCAGGCATGACGAAGCAGATATCGTCCTCTTTTGGAAGACCAAACAAAGTAGTTTCGCTTTCACAACAAAGCACACAGCATCTTCACGACATGGCGGCGGCGGCAACAATACTACAGCGAGATGAAAAGTTACGCCTTCTTTCTTTGCATGAACATTTGGGCGGCGTTATGCAAATCTTCCCACATTGTGACGTATATATGTGGGGCGTGTTAGAACGAGCCGTTTTAGGGGGCGTTGCAGAGTCTTAAATTTGATAAAGAATATCTCTTTGGTTTTGAGACTTTAGTCTTTGCAACTTCAGGGATCTTATCTATGCACAATCAGCTTGTAACACTCCAAAGAGAATGGAAAACTTGAAATCGCATCATATGACCCCTTTAAGTGGGAGACGTTTATTAATGTCTTTTTATATTAATTTTATGTTGCTACTTTTTAAAATTTAATTTTATATTACATATGGCATGGATTCGTCTGTACTATGAAAAATTTCTGCGTCCAAAATATTCAAGTCCGAGTCCAACTGAGTCCGTCCAAGTTTATTCACAATTGCAGTCCGAGTTCAAGTACCCCAACTCTGCAGTATTTTTTGCCAATTAGCATAACGCAATTAAATAATTATCCTTAGTTTAAGGTCAAATGTTATGTGAATGAATCGGATACTTGTTGTCAAATTAAAATTTCGATTCCGCCTATCGTTTCCTAGGCACTTTTTTTTCTTCATCTGTGAGGACCGGACCTAGTGATCTGCCAGGACCTTGCTCGCTCGCTAATCTAAGTGCTCCAAAGTTTGGCTACATTTGCAATCAGAAGCCAAAAAAGCTAAGTAAAATATCTGTGATAGCTAAACATGTTGCAAGAGAGGTGTGTCGTCACCAACATGACAAAGCACTTTAATTTAATAGATCGATCGAATAGAACTTCACGAACACGATTCAAACGCCAATGTGATTCTATTCCTAAATTACAATGCTTCATCCGTTTCATTCTTCAACCTTTGACGTGTGCGATAAATGTTGTGATCACCTGGTTCCACTGATAATGGTCAAATGGCATGCCGGTAAACAAATAAAATGTACTTTTTTTTTTAGAAAATGTTTTGTTTGTATTTTAATTGAACCCCAGTTTGGGAAATCCTGCATTAGAAAACTTACTGGGCCAAATGCTCTGCAGTTACCTTTGCGTCTTTTGTTTTTCTTTTTGCGGGACCCTTTGATTTCATCCCCTTCCTCGGAGTCCAGTTCATCACTGCTCTCACAGGCTGTATTACTCACACCAGCTGCAGAGGAGAGCACTTCCTGCACAGGACCCTGGGATGCCTCAAGCCCACAGAGTAATTTCACTGAAACAGAATAAAGATCAGAGTCATTTTTTTTATTAATATTTTAAAGTGTCAAATATCTTAAAAGAAACTTATTCTCAACATACTGGTTAAAATCATCCTCTAAATAGACTGAACCAAGGCCTGTTCAGGCCTGCTTATGGAGATTTATGTTTAACACACCTGAATCAGCTAATTAAAGGTGTTTGGGGTCATTGTAAAGTACAAGCAAGAGTTTGAGAGCTGAACTAAACTGAGGAGCTCCAGAAGCAGTCTAATCTGCAGATTAATTCAGGGCTTCATATAATTTGACATGACAAGTTACACTTATGCCAAAAAGGCTTTTAACTCATAGTTATGATTCAATATGCTAGAATTATGACATTTGATTTAATCATTATTTACCACATTATTTATTTCGTTATTATGAGGCGAAATGAGCTTTCATACATCATATTTATGATTTTACCTTCTTTTTCAATTGCATTAACAACAGCCTTTTTAACTCTTCCCGACTTTACGATGGCGGGATCGGCGTTGGCATAGTCAGCCACCGTTACTGTAAGAAAATATGAAGGAACACAAGAAATCAAGAGAATGGACTTTAGCTATTATCCGCAACATACATAATAACATAAGCCCGCCTCACTGTGTTGTTAACGTTACCTGACTCCGAGCAAACATCCTCGGCTCTAAATTTCAGCCGTTTTCGGTTCCCTTTCTTGGGCATGACGATAGCGGGGGTCTATGGCCGTTTATCGAGGCTGTGTGCCCTGCCATCTTTCCAGCAGAGGTAACGAAAAAACGATAAAAATGAGGGTGAAATTAAAGAAAGCTCCTCCGGGATCTTCAGCCATCATGGAACTGACGAACAAGGTCGCGTACATTCTCGCGAGATCTCAGAAAGCACACGACTCACCAGACTAGACGCTAATTGGCCGCTGAAAACATATGTGAGAAGAACTGTCCAATCAGACGGTGTATATTCATAACCTCAGGCTTCAGAGAAAAAAAAAATGGTTGCGATAAACCATGACGTCATCTCAGCTGTTTCTTTTTTTAACGTTTAAAGTGTCTTGGAGTACCATACATTGTGCAAATAAATATAATGGAGAATCTCTTTAAACAATGAAAAGACTACTGAACCACGAGAAAAGTCTTTTTTTTTGCATGAAGTTTGAATGGAATCCTTTTAGATTCTTTATTTCTTATAAAATTCATCAGATACATTTCGATCAAACATAGGAAAAAACTGTTTGTTTTACATAAAGGAATCAGAAACATTGGGAAACATTTTTTTCATTCAAAATATTTGTTTGATTTATTTTTCTCTTTTTTTCTGTTTTCTCAGAGTTGTTTTTTTGTCTCATTTATTAATTTACTTATTTTACTTTATACATTTCCTCTGGTCATGAAAATATTAGCTTCAGAGAACTTGCATCTACATAAAAGCACATGTGACTAAATGTTTTTTATGTCTTTTATTAAAGTGAGTAAAACAATACTGAAAAATACAACAAAGTTGAATAACATTTAAGAATAATAGAAATATAAGATTTCCTAATATTGAGATTTTTTTGTGGGGTTTTCATTAAAAAGTATATATATATATATATATATATATATATACTCCAAGAGCCCGGCGAAGTTCATGAGATTTCCTAATAATGAGATCAATTTCGTTTTCATAAAAGCTATACAGGCACTTCATGATACGGCCGTGGTTTCTATGAACCTGCCTGCCGCCAGAGGGCGCTGCGCGTGACACCATTTCTCACACGGCGTCTCGTGCATGACAGTCATGTAGTCGCGTGGTGCTGATGTGAGGAACTCCGATTTTACGCTGTTTGAAGAGCTTTACAGAGCCACGCCGGGTGGATATGCTTTTCGCCGACGACGAGGGAGACGTTTAACCTTCACATCCACCAAAGTGTCGGCGCATTCATATTTTAAAACATGCGCGAATATTTGTGGAGATAGCGGAATAGCTGTGTTGCAAGCGAGAATGAGCTCGTAGAGGGAGGAGCGCTTCGCTCGGCTCGCCGTGCAAGGAGATGATGATGATGATGATGGTGGTGGTGGTGGTGGTGGCAGAGGGATCTGGAGGATGCGGCAGACGCGAATTTCACCGTTTTCTTAAAGGTTAATGGCAACTGGTGGATGTTAAAGCGAAGGGCGCCGAGGTTCAATCAGCTGAAATCGGAATATGCGTGTGGCGAGCGCTGTAATGAGCGTCCAGCGAAATGCATTGAGTTCCAAGTCAAACTAGGTGGATAATGTCAGAGCGGAAAAGGCCGACAATCATGGACCAGAGAGGTCAAGGTGTGTGAAGAATCTAGACAGACATGCAATTAGTGAAATTGGAGGATGCATATGCATTTTAAATTACATGGACATGTTTAATGTGCATATAAATGGCATTAAATATTGGTAGTGCACCTCAAACCTGAATAAAAAAACAAAACAAAAGCAATTTCTAATTTGACTTAGACTTCATTGAACACCGAGCAATATGATGTGTGAAGTGATGCCAACCATAAATGAGGGGGACTCGGTGAGTTCCCAGAGAGGCTCTCAGAACGGCACGGATGCCGAGTCTAATTTTGAACAGCTGATGGTGAATATGTTGGATGAGAGAGATAAGCTGCTGGAGTCTTTACGGGAGACACAGGAGACCCTCATCCAGTCGCAGACCAAACTCCAGGATGTGCTTCACGAGAGAGATGTGCTTCAGAGACAGCTCAACTCCGCGCTACCGCAGGTAAACTCGCATACCTGACACAGGTACACGGGAAGATGCGTCATGACTTACTGTGGTAATCATAGTTTACGATAAAATGTCCTTTTCCCTGTAAAACCTTAGAAAATAACTATTAAAACTATTAGAAACAGTGCTAGAATCTAATTCAATGCCCATTTTAATAACAGCATAAATCTGACAGTAGATTACATTCCCAAAGTCTGACTGTGACTGGTATTTTGAAAGAAAAAAAAAGTTATTTTCAGCCAATTTATTTGTTCAAAGACCCTTGAAAGACATGATATCGCATAAAAAGTGTTTTCTATGGTGGCCGAGAGAGCTCAACGAGCTGCAAATGAAAAAAAAACAACCCCACATGCAAATAGAAAAAAACACCTGCAAATTAACAAAACATCTTCATCAATTTGACAACACACACGCTGCAGATGCTCACAACACAACTAAATAAAGAAACGCACTGCAAATACTCACAACTAGGGATGTTCAGTTTTAACCGTTTAACCAGTTAACCAACCGTAAGAATTTTGACCGATTAATACAATTAGTTAAACGGTTAAAAAAAAGAATTATTTATTTTTTCAGTAATTTAACAAAATATTTAAAAAGGTTTGCTGCATGGTTTTTTAAGGGGGAAAACATAAGTCGCATATAAGTCGCATTTGATTATTTCATTCAGAAATAGCCCTAATGCCGACGCGAAATGTTTACAAACATTATAATAAACACTGTAAACATAGCTAGGCGATTTTAGTTCCCCTCACTCCACAATAAATCCTTTCAATTAACAGTATTTAGAAAAGAACAAGAATTAAAAATATAAGAAGCTATAGCTATATTCTAACACGCCCCCACATGTCTACATCACGATGTGGGAAGATTTGGCTTTCACCGTGGACAAAGTGAATTCCAGCCAGGGGTTGTCACATGTGGTTGCCGCAAGCCTCCTTCATCGAATCCGCCGGCCACGCCGTTCTCAAGCTCACCTGCCTCTGCTCACTCAAGCCGGCCTCCGCTCACTGTAGGCCGTGGCTCACTCTAGGCCTACGGCCTCTGCTCACTCAAGGCCGCGGTGTGTGACGCTGTTTCGTTGTGAAAGCGAAACTACTATGTTTGGCCTTCCAAAAGAGGACACGACTAGAAATCAGTGGTTAAGTGTCCAGCGCATTTTATGGAGGACTGTTTCCTGATCCTGGTAGAGTAGACTACAATGCCGGCTGTTCTGACTCGCAGACTGTAAGTACGTTTCAAACACGATTCAATACGCGAGTTTTTTGGGCAGTGTAGAGTAGCACTTGTTGTTTGTCATTTCTCAGATCACAAATGCAGACATGGTTTTATGTTTACGTGGTGTGATGCAATGCGTAAAAAGACAGTATAAGTCATTATAATCCGTAATTATGTCCCCACTGGATGCAACAAATGCCTCGTTTATAATGGGTTTTAATGTTTTTGTTTCTCAGTAAGCATGTTATACAGGATTTTTAATCTTTAAAGCCGCAATTTGGTAAGAAATTATTAGTTATCATTCATCTTTTAAGGAAAAGTGTCATGTAGAAGGATATTGGCTCATCTATGGTAGTAATATATGGCACCTCTAATGGTTCTGTATAACACAATTTGACAAATGTGCTATAAAGCTTCTTATCTTTAAGAATATGTGCCATATAGTACCAAACGAGGTGTCCCTGTGATTAAAAGCCAAAGAACCACTGTTGAACACCATTTTTGAGAAAAAGCGCTATATGGCAACATTTGACAAAGTGCTATATGGCACCTCTTATGGTTCTACATAGCACCATTTGACAAAGTGCTATATGGCACCTCTTACGGTTCTACATAGCACCATTTGGCAAAGTGCTATATGGCACCTCTTGTGGTTCTACATAGCACCATTTGACAAAGGTGCTATATAGCACCTGTAAAAATAGGTGCTACATAGCACTAAAAGTGGTTCCCCTATGATTACGAGCCAAAGAACCGCTTTTAGTGCTATATAGCACCATTTTTTTTAGAGTGTATAGCAATATAAATGACAAGCCAAAACGAAATAATTTAGGTTAAACGAAACTGAAACCAACGTTGGGTCTCTCATTCCACACAAAATCAAATGTTTCCGTATTGGCGATGTATTTGAATGGCAAATTATTATTTATTATGTACTTCACTCGAGTTCCAATATCCACTTAAAACAAAATGTGTTGCATAACATCACGGCGGTACTGTGATCACACTTAACGGCACAGATTTTACTACATATTTTTTTTTACTACATAGTTTTGTTTCCATATGTTTGACTGACTGTATTTTATTATGATAATGAACAGGCTGCATTGTCAAGGTAGCAATGCTTAACTGTGTGCGCGCATGCGGCGCAATGACTTGATTTTTTTCCCCTTCTAACAGTGGAAGAAACTACTCCTTTTATTCATAAAGATAATCGGAATTGTAAAAGGTTTGCCTTTTACATTCCCAAAGTCTGACTGTGACTGGTATTTTGAAAGAAAAAAAAAGTTATTTTCAGCCAATTTATTTGTTCAAAGACCCTTGAAAGACATGATATCGCATAAAAAGTGTTTTCTATGGTGGCCGAGAGAGCTCAACGAGCTGCAAATGAAAAAAAAACAACCCCACATGCAAATAGAAAAAAACACCTGCAAATTAACAAAACATCTTCATCAATTTGACAACACACACGCTGCAGATGCTCACAACACAACTAAATAAAGAAACGCACTGCAAATACTCACAACTAGGGATGTTCAGTTTTAACCGTTTAACCAGTTAACCAACCGTAAGAATTTTGACCGATTAATACAATTAGTTAAACGGTTAAAAAAAAGAATTATTTATTTTTTCAGTAATTTAACAAAATATTTAAAAAGGTTTGCTGCATGGTTTTTTAAGGGGGAAAACATAAGTCGCATATAAGTCGCATTTGATTATTTCATTCAGAAATAGCCCTAATGCCGACGCGAAATGTTTACAAACATTATAATAAACACTGTAAACATAGCTAGGCGATTTTAGTTCCCCTCACTCCACAATAAATCCTTTCAATTAACAGTATTTAGAAAAGAACAAGAATTAAAAATATAAGAAGCTATAGCTATATTCTAACACGCCCCCACATGTCTACATCACGATG